GTAAAATCAACCAAGATCAAACGTAAATACCTAGGTATACGATCGCAATCACGTTTTCACTGAATTAATAAAGCCGTTTTGGTTTTTTTGTCTACAAATAGAATACATAATATATACAGATACGTAACTTGATAGTGTCTTCATTGACATCTGTGTACATTGTATAAAGCTATAGACAGAGGCGACATTAACACATAGATGGTATATTACTACAATCTCACGGGAGTGAGACTGGTAAATTTATGGCCGAAAAGGTTTATAATTTCCAAACAAGGGTTCCTTTTTCGGGAATGTTACCAATATCCCCTTCAGTGTGACGAGTAACTTAAGCCGAAAAGCTCCCTTATCTCGGGTGAGTTTCTAGTAACTCGGAAAGAGTAGCCAGTTACTATGAACTATGGTTGGTGACGTCGCTAATCTCCTTGGGAGAGTTGCCAGTAACTATGGTCGGGGACGTCGCTAATCTCCTCGAGAGAGTGACCAGTAGCTTTGGAGTGATGAGACCACTTACCTCCTGTAGAGAATGACCAGTTATTAAAGTTGGTGAAGCCGCTAATCTCCTTGAGGAGTGAACAGTAACTATGGTTGGTAAGGTTATTAACCTCCTCGGGAGAGTGACCAGTAATTATGGTTGGTGAGGTCGCTATTGTCCATGGGAGAGTGACCAGTAACTAAAGTTTGTGAATCGCTAATCTCCTTGGTTGAGTGGCCAGTAACTATGGTTGGTGACGTTATTAATCTCCTTTGGAGATTTGCCAGTAGCTATGGTGTGATAAGGTCACTTACCTCCTCGGGAGAGTGACCAGTAACTATGGTTGGTTAGGTCGGTAATCTCCGTGGGAGAGTGAACAGTAACTATGATTGGTGACGTCGCTAACCTCCTTGGGAGAGTTACCAGTATCTATGGTTGGTGACGTCGATAATCTCCATGGGAGAGTGACCAGTAAATATGTTTAGTGACGTCACTAACCTCATTGGGAGAGGGACCAGTAACGGTGGTTGGATGAGGTCGCTGATCTCCATGGGAGAGTGGCCACTCACTCTGGTCTGTGCGTCCGACAATTTCCTTGGCGGGAGTGGCCAGATACTGGTTGGTAAGGTAGCCAATCTCCTCGATGATGTGGCAGTCTCTGTTCAGAGAGGTGACCAATATTCAACAGAACGAGTGCCACACCTCTGGAAACTGTTATCGGCAAAAAAGGCGAGACACGATGAATATTTCAAGAAACCTATAACGCCTCGTATTGATTAGTCCTGGCTAAAATAGCACACGTGGGAACCAAATTACCTTAATGGTCTTGTGATTTACACGCCTACATTAGTACAAGCAAGACAGATGGCAAGGTCATTAGAGGTCAGCATGTTGCTACATTGTGTCTCGTGTTTATACCCCTGTTATTATTTCAGGATGATGACAAAAAACCGAGGAAATATAAACTGTTAATTTGATGTTTCGTGTATGACAGGGACACGGGCGCACGGCAAAAATAGTATCTGTACATTACACTAAGATAATCTCCATTCAATACCATTATAATCTTGACACCAAAACAATCCCCACACTATACCGATACGACCAATATAATCTGCACACGATACCAACATAATCTCTACACAAATCCACCGTTATCTCCACACAATACCATTATAATCCTGAAACAAATATTATCTAAGCACGTTACCAATTGTTTCTACATACTATACCAATATGAAATCAAATTATTACCAAAGTGTGAACAAACAAGAAATCAGTATTCAAATTAATGCATAAAAAGGTTAAAGGATACTAAGACCAGGTACATCGGAAGGGTAAGCGTCTGCTGCTTCATCGACGATATCCGATATTCAATTCCATGTCAAATCAAAGTAAAATCAAGGTTTGAGAATCTGGGCAGTTACAACGAAACTACAAGGCGAACTGATGGGAATCATTAAAACCAATCTTCATATTGTACAAGCAAATAGAATGTTTCCCAAATGAGATGATAATCGCGATCCTAAAACTTGCCCATAATAAATATTCATTAACTTGCATCTCTCAAAACCTCGATTTTTAAGCTTTTTCGTCAGCATGATACATGTATCACAGAAATCATGACATTCGGAGCAAGACCTAAATTACGATTTGACAACACCGTAGAAAGTGGGGGATAAGGCATGTTATTGTCAAGAAAGAAAAAAATAAGCGATTGGAAAATCTAAATAGCCAGTAAGGTAATAAGTATGGAGTTGGAAAGCCAAAGGTTCTGCCAGGAGAAACCTTTTTTTGAAGAAGGCGTGCTCTAGATTGTTCAAAAGATCTTTTGAGTTTTTCAAAATCCACAATTAATCAATTCCACTTCTGCAGTATTCTTGGTCACAACACCTCTAGATTCTCATTTAATGGTACTGTGATATCGTTTATGGGGGAAAAAACTATCTCCGATGGTTTAATGAGAGTACATTATCCTTAAGTCTGCATTCCCAGTTTATCCATTTATTCTTAAGCAATTTTATGTTATTTGCACAAATCGCGTTAATGACCATGTTCGCTCAGTATAGCCCTTGCTCAAAGCAGTACAGCTAAATGTTTAGTCTGTTGTAATCCCCTCATCTCTGTTTCTTTTACTAGCGGTTTGCTTTAGGCGATTCATTTCGCTAAGGGGTTTAGAAAAACAGAGAAATCGAGTCAGTTTGTTTCACTCCTTTTCAAATCCACTGCGAAGTTAACAAACAAGGGGCTGATTATGGAAGAATTCCATTGTATGTTTCACAACACAAATAAACGACTTGATTTATTGATGAATAACCCCAAAGACCTTGATTTTTTTTCTGTAAGCTTTTTCATCATTGCGGGAACATCACTACCAATAGTGCGTATATGACAGCTGAATGTCGAAGTCCAGAATTCCGGTCTAGCTCCGCAGATATTTTTACATTCAAAATACTGTTACCGATTATGTTTTTTTGTAAATCATCTATATATTTTTTTCCCAAAACGTCCAACAAAGTATGGTTTTCTTCTCAGAAATTATTTATCAAAGCCATTTTCATGTCGGGGAAACTGTTTCTAATGCGTAGCTACAGTTTTTGGCAGTGGTGCGGGGATCCTTAAAGTGTGATGCTTGCTATAAGATATAGCAGTGACGTAATGTATGTGATGTTCAAGTATCGTCCAGGGATCAAAGAAAGTGGCTGTTGAGTGACGACACAATGATGGTAAAGGTCCGTCGGGGCCTCTTTACCTTGACATCAGATCGAAACTAGACGGTATATGATAGCAGTCATAAACTATTTATTGCATCCTATAATGACCGAGGCACTTTTGTGGTCGGGATTGCGCCTTTCGATGAACCCGAGAGCTATGCTAGATATGTCCTACCACACCAGAGGGGGCGCTTAAGAGCTCTCTATCCATCCCTTTTTTACAAGGGATTTTCCTATGTGATAGCATGGCATTATACAAGTGTATAATGGCAACTGGCGACAATAAACGAACCTATTTGCGACAGTTTAGACATCTTTTCCTTTCGAATCCTGATTTGTATTTCTATTTTTACATCGTAATACTACGTTGTGGCCCCCTTGGCATCATCTCAGTTTTGCTATATTGCAGAACATTCGGTCATATGAGAAAGGCAATGGGCTCTGTCCCGAAGGAGGGACATACGAAAGTCCTTAAAAACGGTGTGTGTTATTTCCTGTTAAAAACGTCTAGCATTCAGAATAAGCGCAACGACAATTTTGTTGTCTTGTGTCCTGGTGAAGTATTCAGCGACTTGGTCGACATAGCTACTGGATAACTCAGAAATCGGTATCAGATACACATACCATCTCCACCACACACGCACACATCGAGCACGTACTTAACTGACATTGGTTGTGTATAGGGTGTTTAACCCTCTAAACGAAACCATACTTTAGGAGAAACTGTTTTTTTTCAATGAACTTCAGACCACTGAAAATCAGACGAGAATTTAACACGGGAGCCACAAGTGTGATAAGAGAAAGAACGCATCCAGCATATAAAATTGATGCATCTTTTTAATGACCAGATCAAACCAATTCCTATCTAAAACTGCAGACAACTGGACAATAGTGTAAGTTATCCCGTAACTATGTCGACCAAGTCATAACTGTAATGATGGTGTATGTTGCCACCTTGAGGGTGGCACTCTCAACAGTCAACACATGTAGTATACATACAAAAACAAAAACAAAACATCTCTTCAGTAAGGAGACACTACAATTTTATTGTAATACGTTATAAAAATACAGAATTGGGATATCTTAAGGAACATTTTAACAAAGAAATTGATCAAGACTCTTGAACTACTTTGTCATTGTACTGTTTACATTAGATAACATATTTTTAATTGATTTTTTTTAATCAAATTTCACACAATATTGAAACCATATCTGAAATAAATTATACAAGAAAATAAATACAGCTGTACATATGCTAAAAGTTTACCTTTATGGGTCAAATAGCAACTCTTTGATCGTTGTCATTAATGGAAGGAAGAGACAGCTTACCAACCCTTAATAAATGTGTCCACTCAACCAGACACGGCTATTCTGGCCCTTTATCATCACAAAAGACATCTTATAAATCTTCCTTGTAAGATTCCACACTTCATACCGATATACACCGTTCAGCTTTACCCCAAATATCATCACCTTAATGCATCTTGGTTATTTTCAAGAAGTCATTTAAAGTTCTTAACAAATTAGACCCATGTGACATTGAAACTGGGTCAAGGTCTATAATTTGAACACACTTGATACTTCGTCATCTCAGCATGCTACTAGCCAAATACAATCACCCTGGGTCTCTTGGTTATTCAAAATCAGATGTTGAAAGTGTTTAACAAATTTGACTCATATGACCTTGAACGTGGCTCATTTGAACAAAATTGGTATCCCTTCATCCTAGCATGCTGCTGGCCAAACAGCATTGCCCTAGGCCTCTTGGTTATTCACAAGAAATTTAATATTTTAACAAAATTATATCCTTTACATCTAATCCTGTTTTTACAAATTTAATGCAAAAAAATATACATCTGTATATAAAAGGTAGGCATGAACATACTGCCATACTTGGAAATATGACATATTGCAACAGCATTGCTGACACCAATATTTTCACATCACCATTAGTTTGCAAAAATAGAAAGATTCCCATCTAAATATTTCCTGTTTCTTCAATCAATACTTGCAATGTGAATTATACCAATGTTATAAAAATGCACTGGAATAAAATTTACAACAACAACAACAAAAATTAGATGACAAAATTCTACATTAAAATAGAAAGTATAAGGTGTTTAAAATCTGCACCTTCTGGTATAGTTATTAGGACTACAGCATTATATTACATATGTACAAACAGAAAAACACAGCAGAGGTCAAGAGGTAGAGAAAGCAAGGCATTATACAATATCCAACTCTACCCCTTAATGACTACCATTTACTTAATGTCTCAAGGAAGGGGACCCACTATAACGAATCAGGACACAATACAGTATTTACAAATATTAATAATAAGACAAGCTGCTTTGCAGGTATCTTAAAAATACACACCTCAGAAATGAAGTCTTGGATTGTACATGTCTCATCTAAATCTTTACAAATACACCCCTCGACTAAATTTTGGCAAAAAAAATAATTTTAAAAATCTTTTTGGTGTCGGGCCACAGGAACAATAAACTAGAAATGCAGGTCATCATGGATTCCTATCTTGCTCAAAATCAAATTGTTTGCTCACCCCAACAGTACATATCTCTTCAACACTGAAAAAATATACAAGCTTATCAGAGGTAGAAAATGACATGATGTATACTGTACAGAATGGAAATGTCCAGAGCAGATTTTAACAGCAATTGTGTGCTCTCTAAAATCTATAAGCATCCTACCAGTAACGGCACTTTTCACACAATTTTAAAAACTTTTGTCTAAAATAGCTATTAAAACATAACTGAAATGAGAGCTAGAGCTATGTAACCTCTCTCCTACCTGTACATAAGCCTACAGTACTGTTTGTAAGACTTATTATTGGCATAATTATATACACTATAATGTCAGTGAAAAATCCTTACCAGGGTTTTTGATAAGGAGTTGGCACCAGTCTAAGTTTGCAGTGTGTTCAACAATCACCTTTCTACTGTAACGACTGAACGAGGTCACTCTTCAGCAGTAATAAACTAAAGTAGACTCTAAACATACAATCACCATTCTACTATAGCCACTGTGTACGAGGTCACACTTCAGCAGTAATTAACTCATGTAGACTCTAAACATACAATCACCATTCTACTGTAGTGACTGCGTACGAGGTCACACTTCAGCAGTAATAAACTAAAGTAGACTCTAAACATACAATCACCTTTCTACTGAAGTGACTGTGTACAATATATACAAGAAGCCTAGTATGAGGTTTTAACAATTCTCTTAACATACCATTGTTTTCTTTTGAACCTAAAGTGGAAAAAATTGCAATATCCAAAGCTGTAAACCCTGTTTCCTGTACATTGTAACTGTACACATTGGGTGATGTTAATCTAAACAGCAATATTTACACCAGGATCTATAAAAAATATGGAATTTCTAGCTTACACCCAAGTATAACATACCAAATATTAAGTACAACTCTCTTGCTATGTTGTTCACAACATCACAATGTCAACTACAGTGCAAGTATGATATTATTTAAGTACACCAGAATTGATGAGTCAGTAGTACATGGGTGATGGTAAGACTACACAGATTTTGACTGTCCCCGTCGGTGGTGGTACACATTAATTTGACATGTTCTGGTCGATCACTGGCCAATCAATATCCAGCTTTTACTGGTATATATTTGAACTGATACAATACAGAACCTTGTTACACGGAATATGGTCGCATAACAATATCTGACCAAACTACTTTATGGCTGAAACTTATCAGGTTTTATCTACTGAATATGAAACAAGAATATGGCACGAAATTTAATTATTGTAATGTTACACTAATATTTCATTCTTCTCATTTTTGTCTGCCACTATCATTAAACATTTTAGATATCAGCAAGCAAAATTGAATATTTATCTGGGAAAATCATTTAAATAGTAATTATTATAACGGTAACATGCATATAAAGCACACTTGTAGGTGTGTTTGAAAAGCACAGTACCACACACATAGCTTTATCTAACATCACATAAAGTACTCATTCGTTGTTCAAATACATTTATGTTCGCTCATGGTGCATTCGCTCTCTGAAATTAGTGCTTGGTCACTGGTCCATGTCTGTCCAGTAGTAGTCGCTATTTTCATCTGAGTTGGCGTGGTTATCAGAGTCCGACTTTTCGTCGGCCATCAGCAAACTGTCTACATTCCCTGGAGTGACGTCAAACAGCTTCTTTGTAGGGGTGGGAACATCATCTTTGTCCTGAAAGAAGGGAATAACAATCTAATTTTAAGATCTAGTTGAGTAATATTAATGGTACATGCTAATTATATATAAGATGATACAGGTAAGAAGCACACAGGTACCACCCAACTATAATTGTAATCTAGGGTTAACTGAATTATATCTCTCACACACATATGTGTACACTACCCCTATTGGTCACAGAACTACAGTCTGGATATTTCTTTATGAACAACTAGCTGCTAAACAAGATTGAACTGCTCCAAAGTACAAAAGACACATGGAGAACTACCTCCGACAGCAGTACACTCAACCAAATCTCAAGGAAGTTTCAAGGAAAACTTGCTCTGACTAAAGCCGAGATATCTTTTACTCAAGCTTTTAACTACAGACAGCTGGCTGTGTGCCCGTGACCACCAAAATCTAATCAGGTGTAGAACTCCATGTTACCATATTATGGTGTAAAGATGAATGATAGATATGTTGTACACAAGATTTTTATTTCAAAACTGGTCAAGTGTGACTTTTGACCCTTTAATCTTCACTGATGACCGCCAAAATCTTATCATGTGTAGAACTAGATATTACCATACTACAGTGTAAATATGAGCTCAATGTGTTCAGTATTCATAAGATATCGTTTACACAAACTACGTCCTACGGACGGATGCACCCACAGATTGCACTGACAGAACAACTGCTATATACATCCCCCCCCACCCTCTCACTATTTGGTGAGTATAAAAACTTAATATCCGACTAAGACAAAATGACTATTACAGAGCTACAACATAGTGATATAATTTCACATTTTATTTTGTGTTTTATTACAAGTGATTGGTTTATATAGTAGCACATGTGACACAAAAAACAGTGGTTACTAAAAAAATGAACAGCTGGGTGTTTTTTTTATAAGACTACTTCTAAGATTTTCTAAATTCCCATTTTTCAATAGGCCATTACTGTTTCAGTACACATTTATATAAACCAAACTCACCATGGGCAAAGTTTCTAGATCTACTGTGTTTTATATTTTTATTATCTTTATTGTTTATCATTGTTAGGATTATAATTTTTGAAAATAAATACTTTAAATGAGTGGACTACACCATTTTCACAAGTGACATGTTCTATCGTTTATGGCCACGCATGTGGTGTGTTTGTAAATTCCCCCCGTTCATATTTGCATTAACATTGAAAAAATCCAGATTCAATTCCTATATGAATAACATTACAATATGTTTTTCCACACATACCGCAATCAATAGTCTGCTTATAGACTTGGACAGACTGATGACAATGGATTCCAATGGAAATGAAATATGACAGCAAAAATCTGTACCCTGGGACTAGATTTCAAATGTATATTTTGAGATAGTGTTCATGCATATGGCAAAAGATTAAAAATGTCTCAACGGGGAGGAGGCCATCAAAGCTAATCAACATGACTGATACCATAATGATTCACCGAGAGGTCAAACTAATGAAAAAATCTTTTCTTCACACAGACCAAATTAACACTTTTCTTCACACAGACTAAATCAATACTTTTCTTCACACAGACCAAATTAACACTTTTCTTCACACAGACCAAATTAACACTTTTCTTCACACAGACCAAATTAACACTTTTCTTCACACAGACCAAATTAATACTTTTCTTCACACAGACCAAATTAATACTTTACCGTCTAATAGTCCTAGTTAACATACTTACATATCTAGATGTAGGTTTGTGTACTGGCGTTTTAAGTGCATCCTTGTTTTTCTGTTTGTTTGCACCCAACCGCCTCCTCTTCATAACTCTGTGTATGTATCTATCCATTTCATTCCTGTCAATAATCAAGATGACATAATTATGATCAAAAAACTATATGAGCTAGGGAGCCCAAGGTATAACCAGTCCCAACCCCTTGCCTAATGTGATACTGTGACTATATCAAAGCCTTGGGAATAGTTGTTTATAGTGTTGAAAATACTTTGATTTTATATGTGTATGTACCTGAGAATGTTATGTAACACTCCCCCTGGTCATATTTACACATCTATGAAGTTTAATTATGAATTCTTGAGGTAATCAGAAGTTGTGGTCTGGACAAGAATTTTATTGACCTGAGAATAAAATGCTGGTCTGTGAAACATGTCTAACCAAGGCAAAGTTTTGCAAGGCAATCTGTAGTCCCCCACCGGTAATGTTCTATATTTAACGAACAATATACTTAAGTCAGGCAGCATAGGTCACAGTGAGGTCATAGTGACCTACTTCTTGCACTCCGCCATCCCAAGATGTACTTGTACACCAAATCTTGTTACTCCAGGTGAAATAGTATGAAAGAAATGCCCCGACAAACATTTTCAAAGTAAAGGTATCAAAGGTCAAGACATAGGTAACAGTGACCTTACTCTTGCACTCTGCAATCCGCCATCCCAAGATGTCTTTGTACACCAAATCTGGTGCTCTAGATGAAATACCAGTAGTACAGAACATATGCCCCAGACATACATTTTTAACAGTCACAGTGACCTAATTTTTACACTCTTCACTTTGCCATCCCAATCTGGACATGCCAGGTTTTGGTGGTGGAGGAAAGCCGGAGTCCCCAGAGAAAAACCACGGACCTACGGCCAGTACTACTCCAACAGTGTTAGCGGTTTTACATGGCAGATAATTTTGACAGGCGCCGCATAACCTCTAACTGCCCATACCTGATTTTCCTGATGCTGGCGATCAAATTTTCAAAGTTCAGATTTAGAAAAAGTATAGCGAATTTACATACATTTAACTGTTCAATAGGGTCCAATAAATGTTCCTTTCCATAAATCCATGATTAAATGAGAAGAATTCCGTGTCAAAGACATAAATAATTAGTTTTTTTCTCTTTCGAAGTAAGCTCAAAGTGAAGCAGACAACATTGGCCCTGATTTCCCGGTTACTTACAAAATGGATTACATGCAATGTTCTACAAACGTTATACAAACTGTATCATTTCATTCCGTTTGAAATCCCCTATGCTATTTTGTATCAACCTAAGAAGCCATGTTGTAAAGGTAGGTCAGAGAAGTGATACAACCACATGGACATGAATTTTGAGTGTTCGATTCCGTAATATACTATATATTTGTCTTTGGCATACATATCGGATATGTTCTATATGAACCATGAGTAGACATCATTGTCATAAACTGTGAACCACTTAATTGAGTTATTCAAGCCGACATTTTTCTGCCCGAATTTCAGACAGAATCTGCATCAAAGAATAAGTGCTTCGGAAATAAGAGGTTGCAGTCATCAAAATCAAATCTGATAGAAAAAAAGGCCAACCAGCGGCCTCTTATGTTATAGGGGTACGGCCAGAACCTGGGGACTGCCCCACGTAGGCCTCAAACCCGCAACTAAGTGGTGGAGGCTAGTGGTAGCAGAATGTCCGACACCTTAACTACTGGGCCACTGCGGCCCCTTTCAATTGAAATAGTATAGAAGATGTGCCTCGGACAAAGATTTTCAAAAGTGAAGGTGAAAGGTCAAGTCTTAGATCACAGTAACCTCATTCTTGCACTCCGCCATCCCAAAATGTCTTTGTACACCAAATCTGGTTACTCCAGGTGAAATAGCAGGTGATATAGTATAGAAGATATGCCCTGGACAACCATTTTCAAAAGTCAAGGTCAAGTCATAGGTCACAGTCACCTAATTCTTGCACTCTGCATTTCGCCATCCCAACATGTCATTGTACATCAAATTTGGTTACTCCAGTTGAAATAGTATAGCAGATATGTACCGGACATACATTTTTAAAGGTCACAGAGACCTTATTCTTGCACTCTGCACTCAAACTACTCGGACAGAAGGAATGCCTATATACCTATAGCCCCCCCCCCCCGAAAACTTTTAGGGGACTAATTAGTGAAGATATGCTGACTATGTATCATGTCTAGATAAGTAGAGGTATATAATTTCAATTCCTTTAGAAATGTCTGCAAATGCTAAATTTTAGCATGAAGAGAACATATATCCCAACCCTGAAAAATGTCAAATATTAATGTGAAGGATGAATTCCAAAACCCTGTCAAATGTCAGACATTAACAGACAATAGATGAGTAACTTGTTACCAAGGTAAATATTTCCAGGACTCTATATAATTTTTAACAAGTTTATGACTGCTGTACTTTATACCTGTTCACAGGCTCGTTTGGGCTAATGAGTGGGTTGAACGGCGTTTTCTTCTGGGACACTGGTTCAATGTGGAAATGTGGTACTGGGGTATGGAACCGATTGGCAATGTTAGGGTTCTGCCTCTTCACTTCATTAAAGAGTTCCTCCTCATTTTCATCCTCACTACCTTCTCCCATGCGTGGCACCTGACAAAGGGAGACAACAAAACATGTTACCTGTCTTGGATGTCACACTACTTGTTTGCAAGTTGGTGCCCTATGTAAGTACAATGCTAATAAGGAATAATATCAGTAGAACTTCATTATGTAAGTCAAACAAACCTTGAACAAAATCCTGGGTAAAATGAGTTGATTTATTTGATAAACATTATCAGCTATAAACATTAAGTATTTGTTGTGATCAGTACCAGAAGGCGGTGAATAGAAGCACTAATCCTGTTTGTAGATGTGCAGGTTACAAAGAGAAGGCCATGATAAGGAAAACGTTAGTCCCTGTCAGTGACCTGGGCCCGTATTCATGGAACCGTTCTCGTGCTCAAGCATGGATTTTGTGCTCAAACCAACTTTTTTGAAACTCACTTAAATCATGACAGACGATCAAAAAGTCAAATGTAAACATTGAAACAGAATTTAGCTTTAAATCTTTTCAATTTGTTTCCAAATCATTGACAAAATAAGATGATCTCATTAAATTATAAAAGAACAAGGAATTATGCTTGAGCACAAAATCCATGCTTGAGCATGATAACAGTTTCATGAATACAGGCCCTGATCTTTGACCCCGAATACTGTCATTGCTAAAAAAAACAGATTAATAATGCCTATTGAGTGTTTGTGTCATCACCACATAAATGACCTTCACCTTGCTCTTGATGCGGTTCCTGAATGGTGTGCCGTCACACAAGTCATCCTCATGCCCTTCATTGTGCTGCTCCATTAGACTCCTCAGCTGCTGCCTCCGTTTCATCGTGCCCTGCTTTGCCGTTAACACCACCTTGTCACAGACTCCTGTAAAAAGGTATCAGTGTATGTATACTACTCTAAACAATATTCATCTATACATCTTTCTATTGGTAATTCATTTGAGGTGTAACAATTCATGTACTGTAACCTCAATATAATGCCCCTCATTTAATCTGCCTCCTCACTTACCGCCAAATTATTTCAAGGTCCCATTTCTCTCTTTATCTTAATGATTCCTTATAACACTGCACTCAATTTATTGCCAAATCCTTTGATAATGCCAAAACATCTCTGGACAAATGGTGACATGAATTGTAGGATATAACTAAATTTTATTGTCATTTAATTGGCAATTAAAAATAATTCAAGACTGCTAACTACAATATACTGTCTGCAAATTTCTTGTTTATGTGTGAAGCCCAGATGACAATTGTTACCGAAGTCAATTATGACTCTGACACATCATGAAACTGATTTGTAGTGATGTGATGAACAAAATCATGATTATACTGTCACTAGTGTGTTTTACAGGCTCCGCGCTCAGGCTACAGGATCCAGGGCAATGACATCAGACAAGTAAATATCAATCAGTGTATTCATCTATACATTGGAGATTTACTGCCAGCGACCCAAAACAAATCTTTACAGATCCATGACAGTGACATCAGATAAGTATTTTACCTTCACTTCAGAGATCCATGTAAGTGACCCCAAAGATGAGTATTTAGTTTCACTTTAACCCAACATTGATCAACATTGATGATCTGTGATATTTGATGTATTGTACTATATAATTCCATGTAATATTTTCAGCAATCTCATAACTTATATTTTAGATGTCATTTATTTTGAATTTATATAACTATGTTTAAAGAAATACTATGTAAAACTAACACATTTTACTAATATAGAGGACCCCGAGCGAGATAAGCCTCTGGCTAAATCAGGGTTTTTTAATCCTCAGTAAATAAAGTTGTTTATTATTATTATTATTATTATTATCAGTCTGTGGAAATGTTTGTACTTTTGAGGGAAAATCCTTTGAGCATGGTTGAAAAAATGTTACATACTTATATTTGAGGAGAAAATATAACATTTCCCCCTGCTTGTTTAATTTCCAAACAAGAGGACAAATTCAACATGGGTAAAAAAGATTGTACATAGCTAGTAGAACTGTACTGTTATTTTTGCTTTTATAGCTGAAATTTGCTTGTGCATGGGTCACCCATGTTACTGTCCCAGAGGGTAAAAGTTTTGCATACAAAAAATGGTGGCTTTCAGCAGTTGATACAGTACAGCAAAATTTCTCAACTACCCATGGTATGTATTTACCTCAACTGTCTGCACGGTTTCTAGATTGATCAACTAACCATTATTTACTGATTTATCCCTCCTACTTGTTTTCTGGTTTCTTGCCATACTGTCCTTCCAGTGGTGTTCCTGGCATTGCTCTAATGTCTTTGTAATCACTTTCTGTTGCACCAAGTCCCAGAAGTCTGGATGATCTGCTCGTATACTGGTTACAGCCCTGAAACACACAGCTAACATATGTAAGACACAGCTAACACGTGTAACATAGCTAACACATGTAACACACAGCTTACACGTGTAAAATAGCTAACATGTATAACATAGCTAACACGTGTAACATAGCTAACACATGTAAGACACAGCTAACACGTGTAACATAGCTATCACATGTAACATAGCTAACACATGTAACACATAGCTAACACGTGTAACATAGCTAACACATGTAATACACAGCTTACACGTGTAACATAGCTAACATGTGTAACATAGCTAACATGTGTAACATAGCTAACACGTGTAACATAGCTAACACATGTAAGACACAGCTAACACGTGTAACATAGCTAACACATGTAACATAGCTAACACGTGTAACATAGCTAACACATGTAACATAGCTAACACATGTAAGACACAGCTAACACGTGTAACATAGCTAACACATGTAACACACACAGCTTACATGTGTAACATAGCTAACATGTATAACATAGCTTACACATGTAACATAGCTAACACATGTAAGACACAGCTTACACGTGTAACATAGCTAACACATGTAACATAGCTAACACATGTAAGACACAACTAACACNACACAACTAACACATGTAACACACAGCTAACACATGTAACACACAGCTAACACGTGTAACATAGCTATCACATGTAACATAGCTAACACATGTAACACATAGCTAACACGTGTAACATAGCTAACACATGTAATACACAGCTTACACGTGTAACATGGCTAACATGTGTAACATAGCTAACACGTGTAACATAGCTAACACGTGTAACATAGCTATCACATGTAACATAGCTAACACATGTAACACATAGCTAACACATGTAACATAGCTAACACATGTAACACACAGCTAACACGTGTAACATAGCTAACACATGTAACACACAGCTAACACGTGTAACATAGCTGACACATGTAACATAGCTAACACATGTAACACACAACTAACACATGTAACACACAACTAACACATGTAACACACATAACATATGCAACACTTACATAACACATGTATATGTATATATACGTAACACACAGCTAAAACATGAAAACTGTTATACTAATAGGAAAATTATAATTATAACTTTGTGATGCCAGTAAAACTAAACTTGATAGAACTGAAAAATGTCAGTTAACATCCAACATCTCAAAATACAATAGATTTTATATCCCCTAAGTATCAGAAAGCAATAAATCTGCCTGCTACTGGATCCCATGTAAATAGATTTTTACTGGAGTTGGACCTTCACACTGAGCTGCCCTGTTGATACTGACAAAATGACCTAATAACAGTTTATATATCTGTAAAACTACGGTCTACTTACTGCTGCAGGCGTTTGACCTCTAAGGATGACCAGACATTGCCGGCTTCATTACCATTTTTCTCCTTTCTGTCCTGAAGGCGAGACATTGTTCTGTTTTTAACTACAGTTCCAGTCCTTTGACTGAAATCATCACTGTCTGAATCTTCTGTTGTACCGCGAGACTTGTTGAAGTTTGAAGTGGTCCTTTTCCTTATCCTATTTTTCTTATTTTGTGGAACATATTCCTCTGAAGATGAATAGTCCAAAACAGTCGTAGGGTTTCTCCTTTTGGTCAGCCTAGGTTTCCTTAAAGGTATTGTACGTTTGTCAATATCACTCTCACCATCAGAGTGGTTACAGACTTTCTGCTCTGCCTTTGATGACTTACGAGACGGCTCGCTTTGCTTTGTTTGTGACCTTGATCTTTTATGATCTGCATCTTGTGATCGTGACCTGGAACGTGTGACCTTTGAGTTTTTCTTATGTGAAAGAGAACGCATTGAAGTGCAATAATTTGGAGCTCCTGCTGAAACCCTTGATCTGGTTACTCGGAAATTTGTTTCTTCACTATCCTGACTGACCTCTTGCATTTTTTCTGTCTGTCTTTCTTTATTACACTGGACACTGTTATGGTTTGGGTTTTTTTCCTTTTCATCACTACTCGATTTTGATCGACTCTGTTTCCCAGTTGAAAAATCTTTCAAGCTTACTGTCTTTCTTGTATTTTTTGTTTGATGTTTGGACGAGCCACGTTTGACTCGGGGTTTTCTGGTCTCTCCGTCGTCACTACTGATGGTATAAACATCGCTGCCTTGAGATTCCTCTCTCTTTGACGTTGAATCACTGTCATCATAGCACTTGTCCTTTTGAGATTTTTGCTTCAGACGATTTCTTTTAGAATTCTGCAGTGTCTTTTCAATATTTTTTACCGGATCCATGTTTTCACTATCAGAACACTTGGAACTGTTGTCCACATCTGTCCCACCTACTGAATTGTCAGTGTCCTTCTTTCCCTCTTTTCTCCTGTCCATTTTTTTATTTTGTCTAGAACCTTCCACCTCTGAAGTACTGGTGAAAGACTTGTTTTTTCTTGACCTGTTAACTTTAGTGGTTGGAACCTTCCCATATGATTTCTCTATTTCAAGAACGTTCCCCACAGTCTTATTCATAGACTTGTTTAATCTGATTTTCTTGGTGTCGTAGGACCTATTTAGGCTAGAGGTCTGTTTCCCCTGAAATAACAAAATAAACATTGTGGTCTGTCTACAATCTATGGCTTGTATAATCTCGCTGAGGTCTATATTAACAGAAAATGTATTTACCTATTCAGCATGTACACCAAGTAGTCTGTATCATTCAGTTGTCATTTAATCTCTGGGAAAAAACCAAATGACTGAAATTTATTTTAGATATGGGCTATACCCTGTGTATTTACCTTTATCGTACTACCACTGTAGATATGGGCTATACCCTGTGTATTTACCTTTTTAGTACTACCACTATAGATATGGGCTATACCCTGTATATTTACCTTTTTCGTACTACCACTATAGATATGGGCTATACCCTGCATATTTACCTTTATCGTAATACCACTATAGATATGGGCTATACCCTGCATATTTACCTTGTTAGTACTACCTCTATAGATATGGGCTATACCCTGTATATTTACTTTTTTCGTACTACCGCTATAGATATGGGCTATACCCTGTGTATTTACCTTTTTAGTACTACCACTATAGATATGGGCTATATCCTGTATATTTACCTTTATTGTATTACCACAATAGATATGGGCTATATCCCGCATATTTACCTTTATTGTACTACCACTATAGATATGGGCTATACCCTTCATATTTACCTTTATCGTAATACCACTATAGATATGGGCTATACCCTGCACATTTACCTTGTTAGTACTACCACTATAGATATGGGCTATACCCTGTGTATTTACCTTTATCGTACTACCACTGTAGATATGGGCTTTACCCTGTATATTTACCTTTATCGTAATACCACTGTAGATATGGGCTTATACCCTGCATATTTACCTTGTTAGTACTACCACTATAGATATGGGCTATACCCTGTATATTTACCTTTATTGTATTACCACAATAGATATGGGCTATATCCTGCATATTTACCTTTATTGTACTACCACTATAGATATTGGCTACACCCTGTATATTTACTTTTTTCGTACTACCGCTATAGATATGGGCTATACCCTGTATATTTACCTTTATCGTACTACCGCTATAGATATGGGCTATACTCTGTGTATTTACCTTTATCGTACTACCACTATAGATATGGGCTTTACCCTGTATATTTACCTTTTTCGTACTACCACTATAGATATGGGCTATACCCTGTATATTTACCTTTTTCGTACTACCACTATAGATATGGGCTATACCCTGTATATTTACCTTTTTCGTACTACCACTATAGATATGGGCTATACCCTGTATATTTACCTTTTTCGTACTACCACTATAGATATGGGCTATACCCTGTATATTTACCTTTTTCGTACTACCACTATAGATATGGGCTATACCCTGTATATTTACCTTTTTCGTACTACCACTATAGATATGGGCTATACCCTGTATATTTACCTTTTTCGTACTACCACTATAGATATGGGCTATACCCTGTATATTTACCTTTTTCGTACTACCACTATAGATATGGGCTATACCCTGTATATTTACCTTTTTCGTACTACCACTATAGATATGGGCTATACCCTGTATATTTACCTTTTTCGTACTACCACTATAGATATGGGCTATACCCTGTATATTTACCTTTTTCGTACTACCACTATAGATATGGGCTATACCCTGTATATTTACCTTTTTCGTACTACCACTATAGATATGGGCTATACCCTGTATATTTACCTTTTTCGTACTACCACTATAGATATGGGCTATACCCTGTATATTTACCTTTTTCGTACTACCACTATAGATATGGGCTATACCCTGTATATTTACCTTTTTCGTACTACCACTATAGATATGGGCTATACCCTGTATATTTACCTTTATCGTACTACCACTATAGATATGGGCTATACCCTGTATATTTACCTTTTTCGTACTACCACTATAGATAGAGCTATATCCTGTATATTTACCTTGTTAGTACTACCGCTACAGATATGGGCTATACCCTCTGTATTTACCTTTCTCGTACTACCACTATAGATATGGGCTATACCCTGCACATTTACCTTGTTAGTACTACCACTATAGATATGGGCTATACCCTGTGTATTTGCCTTTTCGTACTACCACTATAGATATGGGCTATACCCTGTGTATTTACCTTTATCGTACAACCACTACAGATATGGGCTATACCCTGTATATTGACCTTTTTCGTACTACCACTATAGATATGGGCTATACCCTGTATATTTACTTTTTTCGTACTACCGCTATAGATATGGTCTATACCCTGTGTATGTACCTTTATCGTACAACCACTACAGATATGGGCTATACTCTGCATATTTACCTTGTTATCGTACTACCACCATAGATATGGGCTATACCCTCTGTATTTACCTTTCTCGTACTGCCACTATAGATATGGGATATACCCTGTATATTAACCTTTAGCGTACTACCACTATAGATATGGGCTATACCCTGTGTATTTACCTTTCTCGTACTACCACTATAGATATGGGCTATACCCTCTATGTGGTTTTTGGCATGGGATGTGACCTGGGACAATTCTACTTTGTTGCTGTCTGTCATTATTTGCTGGCCCATCCACCAAAATAACGGTGGCTTGACCATACGGCCACTCCTCGTCTTAGTAAGGTTGGTCAAATCCACAAACTGACCTTCTGGTGTACATACTATAGAAAATAGAACAAACCAGCCATGAAGTGTGCTGACCAAAAGAAGGGTAGAAGTGTACCCCAGTCTAATAATACAGATTTGCATCTTTAATGAAAATGAAATAAGTATCAAAATCTTCAACAATATATTCATAGAGTCCTTTTAATCAATTTTTGAATTTTCTCTTTGTCATGCCCTAAAAGAGATGAGAGAACAAAATTGGACTCTTTATTTTAAAACGTTAAAGCTCCAGTAATTCTTATTTAAAACCTTGAATAATATATATAAATAATAAAATATAGGACATCAAATTTGAGGAAAATCTGCATAAAACAAGTTACCACTTTAGCATGGAACATAATTTAACCAAGGAAGTAATATTGTAAAAAGCAGATCCTACCAAGTGTGTTGGAATTTTCCGCATTTTTCGTCCTTCTTGGATTAATTGGTGTCCTTAACTTCTCATTAGTCTCCCTCTGCTTCACTGTCTTTGATTTATGTTTCAAATCTGGCTTCTTGTGTACAGATTTTTCCTGTTTACAATCTTGTTCAGAATCGTTATGTCTAATCAGAAAGAATAAAATACTAAATTGGTGACAAAGTTTAACAAGAAAATACTTATAAATAATGCATATACCCCTGATGGAAATAGATAGGTGCTTAATGCAAAGATTAACCCAAGTCAGTGATGCAGCAAATACGGATCACATCAGCCTACATCTTACAAGATGATGTAATACTCTTCATGAAGTATCTCAATATAAAGTCTGACGACTTTGCGACCAGCAATATCAAAGAAAAGGAGCTAAACACATATTCTTATCACACAAATGAAACTAAATACAATGTCTAACCAAAGTCAGTAAAGTGAAAAAATAGGTCACAGTGATCTATATGTGACATGATGGTGTAGTACTCCAGAAGATGTACCAGCATATAAAGTTAGATGACTGTGGAGCTTGAGTACAGCAAATGAAACAAGCATGATATATTATGTTCACCAATATATTAACACTGTAATGTGTGATAATTATATAAGGATGGCCATAAACATGTACTTACAAGTATTAAATTATGATAGACTATATAATTATCAGGAAATTGTAGATATTCACAATAAATTACACTAAAACAGTGACTATATGTGGATACTTACAATTCAGTCTCATCAAAGTGGTCTGCTATCAATTGCTTCCAGTTTTTAGGAAAACCAAATTTGAATGCACGCACAAGCTTTTTCGAGAAACCTAAATAAAAAATATTAATAAAAATTAGTAAAATAATAAATATCAAACAAAGGGAAATTTACACATCAAAAATTTCAAAAACATCTGTTGATTACTTCTTGAGAAATACATTTAACAAACTTTAAATTTAAAAACAAAGATGACTCCTGGATGCCAATCTTGTTTTTCAGATCAGTCTCAGAATGAAGCATGTACAACTATAGACCAAGGGGGCCTTCATACGAAATTTGGGAAAGATCTGTGCAGCGCTTTTTGAGAAATAGCGATAACAAGAACTGTTTAAGAACAGAAAACAGACAGACAGATTGCAGATGACAAACAATTTGAATAGCCCATCATTTGATGATGAGGGCTAAAAACTGCAGCCTTAAGCTGCCCCGTAATAACATCATGTACGGAATACTACTAATCACCACCATATAAGGTATACACATTGTAAACTATATCTACTTACCCTCGTCTAAGGCGTAAACCTTGTCTATACTGCCGAACAGCTTATACACAGTGCCAGATGCTGTTTGTATTTTGGTGTTACTTATTCTTTCTTTGATGACAGAACTTTTCCAAAATTCCTCATTGGCTAATTCACTGTAAAAGGATAAGAGACCAATCAAATAGAATGAATCCCAGTTCTTTTATTAGTGAAAACATTCAATAATAATCTATTTATTCTATGTACCTTTCTATCGTTCATATTAAATGATACTCCATGGTTGAAAAATTCTGGATACCCAGAACAATGCTTTTGTTATTGATACGAAAATCAACTTGATGACAACATATGAGCTGATTTTTTCTTTTCTTCTATAATTTTAAGTTATTTATGCAAATATATGATTTTTTTTTATTCCTTTTCAAATAGTAGAAGCTTGAAAAAAGTGTTTAATGTGTTTTCTGTGAGAATGACAATTTTATTTAAAACTTTTATTTTTCCTTGTTTCTCACTACCTCTGTTTTCCCTCCACACAAACTCCTTTAGCTGTCTTCACAGGCTTGATAATCCACTCATACAGAGCCCGCTCCTCTTTGTTGACCACTGTACCAGCTGCACTGCCTTTTTCTGAGGTATCTTTTAATAAGTTGTAAACAATAGTACTAATTATGGTTTCCTCTAAAGCAAAAGTGAATGCTCATTTGTGTATCTAAAGGTAATATCGAATATGCTTGGGGTAATCCTCAATATTTTTACCAAATATGAAGTCAAGAAGACATGATTTCCATATAAATTACCACATAAGTACCTAATACCAAAGCCCCAGTGAAAGAAGTTCTGCTGCACAACACTGATCCTATATACAATGTAACCACATTTGTTTCAAAGTATAACATATTACATCAAATACCTTGTCCATCTTCTGTTTTGTCTTCTGCAGCAGGAGTTGTCTCCTCCTCACTGTCCTCTCTAGTGTCTGACCCTTTCTCATCATTGCCATTTTCCTCTGCTGTGTCCTCACCAGCCATGGCTGTGGATCGAGGATTTGCCGGAGGATCTTCCTCTTCTGTATCTGTCTCTGTACCTTTGTTTTCTATGTCAGGTCATTACATTGCAACACTAGTTAAACACTATATAGTATGACAACAAAATCAAAGTTGGCTAGGTCTGGCCAATCAAAACATAGCAAGTTACATAACATGCAATAAACATTACAGAATTATCTTCTGAAAACCCCAAGCTTCCATCATGATCAGCCACAGATTGCAGGAGACTGTGAGTGCAGCTGATTATGGACACTATTACAAAGTGATGCTCAAGAGATTTAAGCAAGAATTATTTTGATGAAACTCAGGTAACAGTTTAGAGAAGAATTTAAAAATAATTTGAGTCCAGGTTTTGAGACCATGAATGATTACGTTAAACAGTCTTGACTTAAGGATCCCCGTCCCAGCCAGAGCAAAACACTAAAGATTTCCACTGTCATTTTTCAGTGTTCGAGTCACCTGCCCCTGATTACCATGTCGACAATGTTGTTATCTTCCCTTGAATAGATTTTGTTCACACATTGAAGAGACGCTGGTAGTTTTACTGATGAGCCAACACCGACGTCCGACGATGATCCCTCCAGTACTAGTGATCACGAATACATCAATAACTTTTTAACCTGGTCGCAGGGTAGACGAGTGGTTGAACTCGTGATGTTATCTGAATACCTGGACCAGAAAGGTTGTAAGGAATGCGTTTCTAGGCTACGGTTGTGCAATACCCGACAGGAAAGACATTTTGGCCTGGGAGGTATTTTATACATCACAATAGTCAGAATTATATTCTATATTTGTTAGTACATGTATATACCCAAATAGGCCTATATTTCAAGTTCATTTTTTATATTACATACAACAGTGTTATTTTTACAATGTGATATTTTTATACCACAATATTGTATGTTGTTATTTGTACATAATGTAAAAGTTTATTATTGTTGTATAGTGTGATATTTGTTAAACCACAATATATGTTGTTATCTGTATATAGTGACAAAATTTATTATTGCTATATAGTGTGATATTTTTTATATCACAATATGGTATGTTGTTATCTGTACATAATGTGAAGGTTTATTATTGCTTTGTTCAGAATGTAAAAGTTTATTATTGTTGTATATAGCATGATTTTTTTTATACCACAACATGGTATGTTATTTGCCTATTATGTAGAAATTTATTATTGTTGTGTAAAGTATGTGAAACTTTGTTATTGTTGTTCATTGTGACATTTTTGCTATGCCACAGTAAAGTACATTGTTTGTTATAATGTTATTCATACACAATGTGCAATTTTGTTTTATATTGGTAATTTGAAGTAATTTTAATGGTTGGTAATGCCTACTGTATTATATTCGTATATAAAAAGTGCTATATTGTATGTTGTAAATTGTATATATGACTTTTTGGGATTTAGAATTATTATTGGTACAAATGTAAGAGTTGTCTCTCTTTTTTGTTTAGTTTTTTTTGTATCTTTATAATATTTTGTATAATAAATAAGTCTGCAAGATATTTATTTGTTGTCACCTATATTTTCTTTTCATTGTCCTAAACGTGTTACATTGGCACTCGGAATTTTATTGATTTATATGACGGCATTTTTGTTCGTTTTAGTATTATTGTTAGAAAATTACTCAGTTTTTTTGTGTTTTGTTCATCAATATTGACATTGTTATTATTTTTTATGTGTTTTATTTCTAATAAACCATTGTTGCATCAAATAAAATTTATTTTGTTCCATTGAAAAACAAAATCAAAAAAGAATTCGAAATTTCATGATATCCCAAAAAATCTGAAGAAACTACCGCAAGGTATGGGTTATTGTTCTGAAATGATTTGGTTATGCAATAACGATGCGCGTAGAAAAAAAAACAATGCCTCATTACATTTTTAGGCGGAGGGACGGGGATCCTTAAGTCTGAATTTCAATTGTTCATAAAATAAATATTTATTATAAAATTCATCAGTTGATGTTTTTTAAGTATTAAATATAAAACACAACTGCACAATAAAAAGGAGGGGTGCCAATTTGGGCCTTCTGGTGGCTATCAGGATAGATGGCCTGCTGATCCTTGACCAAGCTTTTGGAGGATTTTCCGTTTATTTACAAGACTATACCTTGAAGCGAGTTATTTCCTTAATGTAGTGTGACACTAACAATACTATTACTATTGTTTTGTCATCTACAAATATCGAGGACTGATTCGAAACTGATGACATACCACATCAAGAAGGGATAGTTAAGTATATTGAAACCAAACAGAACATGAATTATTGTAGAAGTGGGGATTCTGGTATCAAATATTATCTTGATCTTTGTTGACAACTGTTTGAATGTACCATATTTTGAAGCTGATTTATAGCATGAATATTTGCATTCATTGATAAACTCAAATACCAGGTAATGTTTCATTTCAAATATTCCAATGACAAATGGCCATACTAACTCTTTTACAGCCCCTTCTATCAGGAACGGTTCTTCTTCAGTGTTGTCTGGGGATGTATAATGCCAACAGGCCTTGGAACTATTCCTCCCTGTTCACTTGTAAAAACGACTCTAACAGAATAATAGGAACCAATTTCTGTTGCTCCCCACCCCCCGACAGTTAGCTATATAAATAAGCTAATACAAGAAGTACTAGAACAATGACAATATTACAACCTGTTCCATGCCTTACCTTTGTGAGAGAGAGACTGGAGGCCATTATCTCCAGCAGAGCCTAGACCCTCTCTGACACTGTTGTGGTCAGTCAACCTGAGAGAAATTTCATCCTCTTGGCTCGGTATAAGGTCAATGTCACTAACACTTCCATCAGACTCTGCTCTTTCACACCCGGTTGGCACATATTCTGCATTTACAAACACTGAATCATAATCACTCAAAGGCTTGATTATAACTGATATTTGATAGATTAAATAATTTAAGTCATAATAGTACCTATATATTTAAACAATGAAAATAAATAAATGATTTATTTGAAATAATAAAACAACTTGAGTCTTATCCTATGTTATTATTATGCTGTTAAGAGACTGCTTAAATACAAATTTCTAAACATGAATTAATATTGGTGGATTTTTTTCGACATTTCTATGTAAATTAAATCAACTCAAAGACAAACTTCCTCAGTTCTTTATATAACCAGTTGTTTGTTTCTTAAACCTCCCCAGAGTCACCTACCTCTCTCTATATCTGACCCACCGCTGTCTTCAGTACCACTGTTTTCTTTTCTTTTGGTTTCTGCTGCAAGATCGATCATGGTCAGAAATGTGAAACCAATCAAACCTTCAATATTACGCAATCAATGAATTCATTTCTTATTTGACTATATTTCATAATTCATTAATCAAAATGTTGGAAGTGCCAAATTTATGCTAAACACAGCATCAGAATCACCAATTTACAATTAATAAATAGGTGTTTTTTCCATACAGACTTATTAATTATATGTTAAGCATAATCAAAAGCGACATCAAATATTTAAAGAACATATGGAAAATGACTTATTTGAATACATAATTTATGAATTTTCTTCACAGCACCTTATTACCTCATGTCAACAACCATATCTTAGACTTCAAATTAATATATACAAGCAAGAAAAAAGATGACGAATGAAGTTAACAGTTAGATAAAAAGAATAACAACTTCGGACTCAGATTACACAAACTACTTGTATATGCTATAATTGGTCAACATAGCAAACAAACATATACATCATTATTTTGTAATCAAACCAATTTTTAAATATTGATTATTTTGACAAATCAATTGTCTTTGGATTTGACCCAAGATTCACAATCTGAAGTCATCAACTGTTGACTTTTAAATCAACTGAAAGTCCAGATAAATATATGAAGGACATTATAGTTTCATAACCATCAGCTGGCGTATACACTTAGTATTACCTTTTGATGTTAAGACTTCGTAACCAGAGTGTGCCTGATCTCTGGAGACAGGCGTGACAGACCTCTGGGTTTGGGGAGGCTGGCGTCCACGCCCTTGTATAGGTATGACAGGGGAAGCCAGTTGGAGAATTTCTTGATTACCAGAGAGTCTCTCAAATGTTTGGACACCTGTACTCTCATCTTCCCTATGATAATTCCATTCCAGTCGGTCAGAATTTCGTCTGTCCTCTTGGTCATAACTTCTGCTATAACCTCCAGACATTGTTTTGTTAGTTCCACTGTCCCTTCCTGAATGATTGTGATGTCTTTGCCTAAAGTCTGAGCCCTCTTCAATGTTTTCACTATTTTCACTGTCGTACACAAAATCTTCTTCTTTGGAGTTACCGTCCATAAAGGCGACTTGTGAGTTTACTCTATTGGGAAATTCTCTAATAGACTTGTCTCTTTTCTCGCCATACATTTCTATATTGTGTCTTACATTCTCATCCTTCTCAAGGTCAAATCTCCTTGAAAATTCACCAATGTAACTGTTACTTCTATTTTTATTAGAAAGCCTTGAAGCACTTATACTAAAACTTGTGTCTCTGTCAACCCAGCGTTGAACTGGACTCTTGAATACAGAATCTGTACTTCTGTTCAAGTGTGGAGTACCATGGTCAAGGTCATTTGAGAAACTGTTGTTGTGGGAAAAGCTAGCACTATGGTCTGAATTAGACAGTGATGTATCAGGCTTTCTTGTTTTCCTCAGCGATGCATATATTTGATTGAATCTTTCTGATGGCGCTGCCTGTGTGGCAATAAAAAAGTGTGTATTACTGTATAAGCAAAAGGAAACACTGACATTAGCTCATGGATCAATACATCATTTGCATATTAATACTCCATCTATTTGAAGTATCAAAGTATTGTGTTAGTGATCATAATTTATTTCATCACATAATGTACTGTGTTATCCAGTGAATACCATGTCATACTTTTTTGCGTATTAACCCATGTTATATATGACCCGTCAGACCTGTAATTGGTCATAAGTTTCAATTGTTTCGTTTGTGACATCATGTCTAGGACAAGTACATGACGTCACAAACTTTTGCACTGCAGTCAAGGTTGCAGGAAAATTGTCGTTTTACACGATTAAATGCCACAAATCTTGACTATGTGATAAAAAGGATCTTACTCTCGTTATCATTCTACATGAAATTTATGAAACCGGTCACAAATATTTCATTTTAGCTTGCCAAAGGATCGCTAAATTGAAAAATTCTTAAGACTTGTTTCATAAATCTCATATGAAATGGAAAGTCAAACTTAGGTAAGATCCCACATATCACTAATTAACAGCAATTTAACAGTATTTTATATATAAATATTGGTATGTTTACCACTATTGCTAGGATTCTTATCAAATTCTAAATCTACAAATTTTCAAAATTCAAAACTCATCTTCTAGCTCTACATATAGTGTAGTATAATGTAGTATAATGTAGTATAATGTAGTATAGGTGCATGATATTAAAAGTATATAATAATGATAAGTAAATAAACACTATCGCGTATCGAATGAGATGAAACGTTTTAACACAATCCACTGGACCCTTGACAGTTAAGCTGCTTCATTTGTAAACATCAGAAGTTCAGAGTATTATCATGATCAATACGACAGTGAAATATAAATACTGATGTCAAAACAAAAAACTCTACCACATCTTTAGTAAATTATCTTACATTGCCTGTTCCAGAAAACCTTTTCTTCGGACTGTTTCCAAGGTGACTTTGTAGAAGCTAAAAAAAAATTACAGCTCATTATGGTAAACGGTAGAGCACAATGCAATTTATGAAACTTGACAGTCGTAGATGTGGATTCCCACTTTATTTTTTTGGGATTCTAATATAGATAATTAACCTCATGTTCAAAATAAACAAGAGTACCGTGGGGCAGAACAATATACGCCTGTCGAATACCATATAGTGTTATATACTTTCTTACATTGAAATAAGATCTGCATCATTTCAAGAGTGGTTAGCTGACATGCTATAAAAAATGAAGGAGGAGATCTCCAGACAAAAAATCAAACACTGAAATGAACAAAGGGCAATAACTTTTGGAAAAATTGTTGAATCAAAATTCTTTTAGGTGAAACACAACTTCATATCATGATTATAATGTATATAAAAATTCAAAGAGATTGGTCGAAAAATGTAGGAGGAGATTGCCGGACAAACTAAAGTTTACGGACGCTGCCATATATAGCATAATACTCCCGTCAAATTTGACGGGTGTATAATAAATGAACTTCTATCTCCTCGCATTTAGATATGCTTTGACTACTATCTTGGTGTATTATAAGGTGTAAAAGGGACCTAAAATATCTATGCATGGATATATACAGTCAATATTCATGTAATTGTTGCTTCCTTTTATTTGAATGATCATTATAACAACTCTGAATGCATCAAATTGGACTGTTTAACTTTTTTTAAGCCTATAGTCATGACAAGATATGCTGCATTTTTAGAATTCAGTCAATCATGAGGAGTTTATTTAAATTGATGCTATTATTTTATTTTTACATTTTTCTATTGGGAAAGGGTCCTTTAAGCTGACTTAAAGAGTACTCAGGTAAACCCCAGTTAAGCATCCATCATGACCAACCATCATATACAATTTATTTTAGGTGACTTTTATACCTGTTTAGTACAGGTATCTAGTCCACAAAAGAAAGGAAACATAAGGAAGTATGTATGGTTCAAATCAATAAGCAATATTTTCATAATTGTGCCCTCATCTCGATATTCTGCTTACTTCAGGGAGCGGGCTTCGCTCATATAGTCGGTCAAATGCATTTTTGATAATGAGCTGCTGTGATGATTGGTCAGTGTTTACAGTGGAGCACCCAAAGTGTGACCGGTTATGACTCATCTAGAATGGAAAAAATAGATAATTATTTTTAATGTGTATCAGTTTTCATTGCTGTAACATTTTTGTTGACAGTTTTCTTTTGTACATGCATGCAAAATTCTGTGTAAAATTATCATAAAAGAAAAATCAAAACCTACACTATGAGCTCATTCTTGGATGGCCCATATTTAGTTTTACTTATACATGTAGATCTAGAAAATCATGTTTATATTCATTGATGAACTGTCACTATTGCCATACCAAGGTAATTTGCAAACTACATTTTTGAAATTTTAGAGTAACAAGCTTAAGAGGCCCAGAAGGCTTGTAACGCTCACCTGGATATCTAAGCAATCATGTCAAAATATTCTCCAAATGAGATCTTAGGGAATAGGCCAGTCCCCAAGGCCAATCTTTGTAGTATATCTGTACTAGATTTGTCATGCCCAGCAATTTTATGTATGGTTATGGCAGGGGTCGACACTAACACTAGTTCGCTAGTCCTGGACTAGATTTCAGCAAGGACTAGTGAATCACCTAACTTAACGGGTCCTTTGGACTTGTGAAAAAAATGATTATAAAATTCAAATATTCCTTTTTTTAATTCAGAAAACTGCTTAAAATGAGATATATTGTATGATTATTGTCAAAATTTTCCCAAAACCTTTAGCATATTTTTATGGCAGTTATTTTAAGTCCCCTACAGTTGATTACTTTTGATGTTTCGTGCCGTAGATCGCGATGTTTCCTTAAGGAAATCTTGGACTAGTTACATTGATGAAGGACAAGTAAATAATTTATTCAACTAGTCCTGTGGACTGCCAAGCAAAAACAGTTAGTGTCTAACCCTGTATGGGGTGGGGATCTCAACTGTTTCCAAGCTGTGACTCCATCAAGTAGGTTTAAACAGTACAGGAACTCGTTCCTAGTTAGAACAACCATACTCCAACAGTGTCATATATTTATGTTATAGGAGTAGAACACCCATAAACTGGAACCACCTAAGTAACTCCATCTATGGCTCCCATAACTATCTCAACTGCAGGTGTATACAAACTCCTAAAAAATTTGAAGCCACACAAAGCTACAGGACCAGACTCAGTACCAGCAAGATTTTAAAGGATCTGTCCAACGAACTGGCACCAGCCCTTTACCTCATTGACCAGACCTTGATTAATCTCGGAACTGTTCCAGATGACTGGAAAATGGCACATGTAGTACCAGTCTTCAAGAAAGGAGACAAGAGTAAAGCTGCTAATTACAGGCCAGTCTCGTTGACTTCCATCTGCAGCAAGGTCAGTGAGCACATTCTCCACTCTACCATCTTGGACCACTTTGAGACCCACAACATACTTACAGACGCCCAGCACGGATTCTGGAGTAAACGTTCTGTGGAACACAGCTTATCGCAACCATCCAAGACCTTGCAAAAGGACGTTCCAATGGACAACAGATGGATGTCATACTACTTGACTTTGCGAAAGCCTTTGACAAGGTACCGCATCAACGTCTACTTCACAAACTCCACTACTATGGAATCCGCGGTTCAACCCTAAGCTGGATTGGAACCTTCCTTAGCAGTAGAAAGCAGCACATTTTGGTAGAAGGAGCTAAGTCAACAGAGGGAGACGTGGATTCAGGAGTTCCACAGGGAACGGTCATAGGACCCCTACTTTTCCTGACTTTCATTAACGACTTGCCTGAAAGTGTGAGCTTCTCTGTCAAACTGTTTGCGGATGACTGCTTGATATACAGGAACATAGAAACATCTAACGATAGTAAAATCCTACAAGAAGACTTGAATGCTTTAGAAAAGTGGGAAAAAAACTGGCAAATGGCATTCCATCCAGAAAAATGTACCGCCATATATCCACAACACGAAGAAGAGGAAAATAGTTGACACCAAGTACCAACTTCATGGCCACACCATTGAGACAGTTCCAGGTGGAAAGTACCTTGGAGTATACATAAGCCAAGATCTTTCGTGGCGGGATCACATTGATCAGACAACTGCCAAGGCCTCAAGAACAGTAGGATTCTTGAGACGTAACCTCAGGAACTGTCCACAAGCAGTAAAATCCCAGGCATATACCACCTTAGTCAGGCCAGTTTTGGAATATGCATCTGTAGTCTGGGCACCATACCAATACCATCAAATGCAACAAATCGAAAACGTACAAAGACAGGCAGCACAATTTGCTACAGCGAATTACTACTACCGAGACCCTGGTTGCGTTATTACCATGCTTAAGCAACTAAACTGGGAACCACTAGAACAGAGAAGAGTGAGAAATAGGATCATCATGTTCTACAAAATCATCAACAACCTAGTAGAAGTCCCCATCCATCATCTCCTACAACAGACCAGCAGTGGGACTAGGAGTTCCCAAGTCAACAACATCAGGCAAATAAGCACCAGAGTCGACGCATATAAACATTCATTCGTCCCTGCTACGATCAAGATGTGGAACTCAATACCATCAGATACCAGAGGATTACCAACAGTAGACAGTTTCCGGCACCACATATAGACCATTGATGTGGCCAGACTCATCCCCAGGCACTAGACAGGACTCCAGATTTTAACTGTAAATACCAGATTTTAGATGTATATACAGACAGATGTCAATAGCAAAGTTTTAAGCTGTATGGTCAATATGCGCCGGAGAGCCTGGAGTAGTGACACTCATCTGATGAGTCAACTCCATAACGGGAAGAAGAAGAACTCAATTGTGACACTATCAAGGCGTTTAAATCAGCCCTCGAATCACGCGATTAATTACATCTGCACTCTCTCACCCGCTGCAATATTACCTTAATTGAGATCTAGCAGTGTATTCCATACAGATACAGAATAATGGTTCCTCTTTTAAATGAACCAAACAACATATATTTATATAACTTTACAAGCTCTAGTGAAGCATCGGTCGACTTGAAGGAAGAGTCATCCAAATGTCTAACCCCAAGCCTGTGAGCGTCTGGAGTTATACTAAATAAGGGGAAGAGCCAATGTACTAATATATAAACTAAAGACATAAGCTTAGATACTGCACTGTCTGATCAATTCAAACACGAATGATATACTTAAATTACAATTTAATTTATGAATTCGCAATCGGTGCTGCATATGATATAACTGATTGATTACATATCAGTGTGGGCCTCGTAATATGTCTTTAATATCAAATGATTTATATTCAAACCGTGCACAGTGGCTACAGTATACCTGTCTACTGAAATGGTGGATCACATCCTCACCATTTATCGATGATGCAATTGAAATAGATGCAAATAATTATGAATGCATTTGTATGCCAAGGATATAAGAAAGGATACGAGTACCAAAATATATACCTTGGGAACCTTGTTCTAAAAACTAAATAAGATCTTCATCTTCTTTTTGCAATGCCCGCCTTTCTGTTTTTGAATCACATCAACGCTTTTTTTCTTCAAAAAAAGAGAGCGTTTCATTGACTCGGACTAAAATTAAAACTACGGAATACCGTTTTGAAATAAAGCGGAACGCATATCGGCCTTCCCTCCCCCCCCCGACTTGATTAGGCAGAGACGTAATATATATATATATATATATATACGTCTCTGATTTATTGTTTTAACCAATTTTATTATATATATAAATTAACAANTTAACATATGTAAATGAATCAGATAACAGGCTAGGCCTATATCAATCTTCTCCATGATTGTGTAAGTATGATATTATATATATACATGTAATTATAAGCTATTTATATTATTGTATTCAATTCAACCACTCAATCATACATTCATACAATNATATATAAATATTGTAAAAATTATAAAACAAGCTACTTTTATGGTTTGCCTAAAATACACAAAAGTACTATCATAGCTGAAGCTATTAANGAAATTGACTAGCAACTTTCAACAATTATGATTGAATTAGGTAATTACAGCAAGTAATTCATTTAATTGTATGTACATGCAAAAAACATATATAATAGATTGATTATATTTAAACATTTATTTACATCATCCTAACCATGTGGATGCATTGATGTACTTTTCAACATTAGACAAAATCAGCTATTTTTTTTCAGAAGGTAAATCAGTACTTCCAGATGTCAAAAGTTGAACATTTAAGTATCCAGCTCTGGTATAGATATCATGGATTAATTCATGGAATTAGAGTAATTTGAACAAGTGAAGAAGAAGTGTTCAGAATTTTCAATTGGATGACCACATGAACAGGAAGAATCAGGAGAAAGATGGTCAGCAAATTTGTCATAATTTAAGTCACTGGCATTATTTCTAAGTTGGCAGAGGATAATATTTAACTTTCTAGGGCTACAATTTTGAAAAACAGAAGTAATATTTACAAGAGGGATTCTTTCATTATTCAATTTAGATTTGAACATATTTAATGATGGCGCTGAGGTTATTTCAGAATCAAGCGAATTCCATATTTTCATGACATCTGGAAAAAAACTATTGCCAAATAAATTAGATCTAAAGCGAGGAATATTAAAAAATCTGTGTTGTCTAAGATTATGAGGTGGAACAGCATCATTAATATAAGGTTTAACAATGTCATGTAAATATACTGGTGTCATATGATTTAGAATTTTAAACATTAAAATAAGTTTGTGCTTATGACGCCTAGAAGAGAGCAGTTCAAACCCAGTTTCAGAATATAGTTTCTGATGTGATGTTCCACTTCGTAATCCAGTTATT